CTCTCTCTCTCTATCTATCTATCCCCCACCCCCTCTGCCTGTCCCTGTCTGTCTCTATCTGTCTGTCTCTATCTCTCTCTTTCTATCTCCCTCTCTCCTCCTCTATTCCTACTTTCTCTCTTCCACATTCACTTGATCAAACCTATTTCCCCCCCCCCCCTCTCTCTCTCTCTCTCTCTCTCTGTCTTTGTCTGTCTATCTATCTATCTTTCTATTTCCCTCTCTCTCCTCCCTTCATTACTATTTTCTCTCTACCACATTCACGTAATAATCCACTTGCTTCCTACTGCTCTGCTCTTCTCTCATCCTCCTGTACAGAATCAACCCGCTCCAGCAGGCAATGGGTTACCGTAACACTCTTCCATGTAATTGGCTGCAAATGTCGGGCCCCAAAAATAAAATGTTATATTGTGCTCGGACTAAGAAAAGAGGTCCCATTTCTAAAGTTAGTTCCAACAGAAGATTTGCAATGTCCAAAATTACAATGAGATATATAGGAAAACAAATCATATCGGTGTTCATTTCTGGTAAGTTTTGGTACACAAAATGGCAAGTGATAACTATCTTATAAACCCATTGTTTCTAAATGTATATGCAGACCTTGGCTTTCCCAGGTTTTTTGTAATTTTCTTCATCTGTCTCTTCTATTTTCATACTGTCTGATGTTAATCACTACATTCTGTTATTTGGAAGGAATACTTAACCCTTCTGATCTCAAAAATTAGAAAACCAAGAAGTTATTTCCTGAATTTTCATTCCAACTGTAAAGCCTCAATTTAAAGGTAATACAAAGTTTTGGGAATTTTTGAAAATTGGATGGTGGTGATTCTTTTCAATTTTGATATATTTGGATGCCCTGTGGATGTAATATAAGCACTAGAAAATTTAGCCCCTAAAACACTTCTGCTTTTGAGAAAAATTGAATATAACAATTTACCGGTGCTCCCGGTAAATTCTGATAAATTTCAAATAGCGCCGTACGGCCGTACAATGGTAGCTGCGACCATGACAATTTCAGAATATGTAGTTGTGATATATAATTTCCAAACTAGAATAGCTAATCAGTCGATTTTAGTCAAGAAACATTGTTTTATAGCTTAATTAATATCTTGACCTTGAGAGGGAGCTATACAACATAAAGAGTTTATTATTCATAATGTCATAACTTTAGAATCGATTTCAACCGCGACAACAATCACTGAATATTGTAGGGTCGCATATGCTTCCAATATGTTCATTTGAACCAAATTCATGACCCCATACCAAAACTTTGTATTACCTTTAATCAATGTTGTTATAATATTTCAACCACCTTTACCTACATTCTCCCACCATTTCACTATCTACAAGTATCAGCTCTATTATCTCCATTTCCGATCCTATTTTGTTTGTTTCTTTTCATTATTTTCATCAAGCAGGTAAAAATAACGCCTACTAACATATCTTGGAATCATAAACAGGAAGCAATCATTTCTCCTGCATTCCTGAAAGTACCATAACAAGTTGGATAACAATTAATCCAACGAATACAAAGTGTTATGAAACGATGTTGCAATAACGTCTGAACAACTAATACATGATGCAGCACAATTAATCAAGGAATTATGAATGCTTGATGTTACGAAGAGTGTCAAAATACTGCAACAGTTGAGTGATCAAAGTCGGCAATGGTAATAACAACCTTGTTATAGTGGGATGTATGAAAAGAAAATAGAGGCACACTTGTTTGGAAAGGAAATGCAAACTTGTTGAAAATATAATGAAAAATATTTGAATCTGTATTTCAGAACCCCAATGCTATGTCTGAGAGAAAATTTAGTTTTGACTATAAGAAGAAATTAACCAAATATTGACAGATATTGAAATTCCTTTATTTCACTAAAGGTTTTGGTGTTTTGGGTTTTATTTTCTTCAATAGGTCCACAATTATTAACTGAATTAAAAGTGCATTGAATAACTTACAGCGTATGTTGAACAAAAGCATTTCTTCATGAAATGCATATTTATAGTGATGAGTGATTCTAAGCATATCAATTTTCCAGTAATTATGAATGTGCCTAAATGAATGAATGGCAAAACAAAATTCCTCTGTTCAAACCTCAAAGCCAGAATCACATTTAACTATATGAGTTGATGCACTTCTGTCTCCAAACACACAATATGTATTAAGAGTACAATGACCTCACAAACCATCACTCTAGCACCAGGAAGGCTTCACACCCATCGTGGGAAGTGTCATATTTGTTACCCTAAATATATTCCACCTCTTCCGACTGTATCATCACTACCCTAAATCCCTAAAAATTAGTGGAAACATTGACAGAAAAAGTTTGGTGTTGGGGAAATCTTGGTGACGTGATGATAGGTGTATGGGACTAATGACGAAGCCAAGGAGAGATATCTGGATATCGCATCAATCACAAATCTAATAATATAGTGGTAGATGATGAAAGGATGACTTGATTAGGAATGAAAGCTGGAGAGCAGGAGGGTGTTACACATGTGTATCATTAGTTTGAGATCATTCTCTTACATTTTCTTTCTTTTTTCATTCCTCTCTCTCTCTCTACAACTCTCATTCAGTGCATATTATGGCCGACTACTGATGGAATCATCCCAGTCATAATACTTTGTAATATGCCTATGATTGTGGGTGGATGCGCTTTCTCATTAAAAAAACTCTTTTCATTTCATAAAGTTACACTCTATTTAGTATTTAAAAAAAATTCAAGTTGGCTAATTTAGACAATACACAACCAGTTCAAGGTCCAAATAAATCCAAAGCAATCATTGTTTGTCTCTTCCGAAACATTTTTACTTTTTACAAGTGCTTCATCACAGTTCAAAAGAAGGTAATAACATTTCTTAGTATCATCTCCCTTTAAATAATCCCATTAAAACCTGACTGCTAAAATGGATAAATGTGTAATGAGATCATAAAAATCAAATTGGCACTCATTGCCACTCACCCGTAGGGGGTAACATGTTATTTTCTCACACATGGTCAATGTAACTTTGAGAATTTCATTCATAATACGAGAATGGTAATGATTCCCTTTCCAGCCCCCCCCCCCAACTTCTAAAAACATGACTGCTGAAATGGATAAAAGTTTAATGAGATCATAAAAATCAAATTAGCACTCATTGCCACTCACAAATGGTCAATGTAACATTGGCGGTTTCATTCATAAAACAAGAATGGTAATGATTCCCTTTGCCTCATCCCAGCCCCCTCCCCCCTCCCCCAAAAGAGGGTAAAAATAAGAATGAAAACCAGATGGTATGATTAAGGTTGGGTGAACATAATGACGGGTAAGCTCGTTAAAGAGGCAGGGAGCCAGGACACTTTTAACACGGTTGGGTTCTGAACCCGGTGCCACCGGTGTGAGTACATCAACGAGCATGCCATCTGGATGCATACACACATGGCAATTATTATCTGGGTGAAAAATTAGCACATCTCGTCCATTTAGAGCGAGAAAGGGGTTATGAACTCAGATACCTTTACACAGAGTTAATGCCCTTCTGGCTCTATGTAAAGGGTATCTCAAAGAGAACTTCAGAAGGATGGGTTGGTGGAGACATTGGTGGGTTTTCTCCTTCTTTTTAATCCTACCTAGAAGAATTTAAATAATGGCAGCAATGATAAGCAGTACTCTCAAAATGCCCACATTTTCCAGCAATGACTAACAATATATGATAACTAACATACCGGTAGTAATCAAAGATATGGGATGAATAAGACTTTAACTTGCCCCACCTCTTCCCCCACTTCTATACATATATCGCTATCTCTATGTCCCTGTTTGTTTCAATATCACCTAGAAACCGAAATATATTCCGGCAAGAAAAAAATAACATGAATGTCACACTTGCAAAAGTGCAAGTGCGAACATCATCAACAAGGTATATCTACACCCTGGGAAAGAGATAGAGACTCTCTCTCTCTCTCTCTCTTGGCAGATGAAACAGAGCTGGTGCAGGACCAAAGTGTGAACTTGATTAAGGTACATCAGAATGCTCAAACCAAGTTCTCTTGAGTTGTATGCAATAAAGGATAGGTGATAAAACTGTGACCAGTGTCAGGAATCTGTCTTCCTTCCTAACACTTCTGGAACAGAGTGCAAGACTTCAGTTGGCTTTACACACAATCACCTACTTCACTCCAGAGTGCATTGGCCTAGATATTAAACTTAGGAGCTGACAAAGGATGAAGGTTTTGCTTGGCTTGACTAATGTAATAACTACACAAAAGAACAATAATGATAATAATGATAGTCACATTTGTCTAGTGCTTACTACAATGCTCAGCACTTTACATTGTATTATTATAACCCCGGTCATTGGAATAAATTGCAAACCGGGTACCCATTTAACACCTGGGTGGAGAGTGGCAAATGCAGATTAATGTCTTGCCAAAGGACTCGAATCATGAACCATGCGATCCACAGACCAGCGACATATCCACTACACCACAACAACCCTATATATATATATATATAACTATATATTTTGTCGTCAAATTAGTCTCCAAAATCTTGTGCGAAGAAGGTACAAGTATTTGATATTGGTGTCAAGATGCGATTGCTCTGAGAGAATAAAGGCCAAAGTCTTATTAGCATCAATCAATGAGATAGATCTCCATCACTGAGATCAGAAATACTTTCCTTGTAAACTTCACATGGCTTCAAGAGACCAATTTGGGAATAACTTTTGGCCATACGTATTGCTATTAATATCAGCCATATAGGAACAGCCCTTAATCCTGCTCCTGCAATACAGATATTGGCCACATATACAGTCAAACCTGCTTTAGTGACCACCTGTCTACAAAGACCATATTTTTTGTTTCCCTTGAAAATGGTTTCTCAATGAAACATGTACTAAAGAAACCTGTCTACAAAGACCACTTTTTGGGTTTCCCTTGGGCCGTCGCTACAGGTAGGTTTGACTGTATACACAGTGAGGTGTGGTATGCTGAGAGTTAGGCAGAAGCTTACCTGTAGAGTCATGAGTTGGTCCGTCCATCTACAGCCATCCTTGTAGAAATGACATCGGACCATCAACATCTGAATATCACCAGACATCTTATCATCAGGGTAGATCTGAACACATTGGAAATAATGGCAATTATGGTTATTTACGAGTTTCTGTCATTAAATTCATTTTCATTTCAGCTGATCATAGCACACAATAAACATATAGTCAAATAGAAGGTTCACTTCTGGTCAAGCGATTGCATTGTCAAAGAAACGTTGTGGAATCGATCAGAAAAGGTTGATCATCTAGCATATAAGTATTGGTGTGTATTGCAAGGTTCTGGAATCATCAAAATGATAAGAAATTTGGCCTAGTCTTGGTAAAGTTACTAGTACATCTGGTCTAGTTTTTTATGATGTTACATGCCATATTTAGAATATTAAGGCATTTGAAGAGCCATGCTTTTCAGGGAAGATGTTTTAACTGATGTTCTTTCACACTTGCATAATACAATGATAACACTCACAAATTATTTTTCACCTCTTCCCAGAACTCAACCTTCTTTTTAAGGATCGTTCAGACATGAAGTGGTAAACCCCTAAAAAAAAAATATTGCTGCGTCTGTTAAAATATGTAAATGAATGGAAACTGTGCGTGACGTAGACCCTATATATGCATATTCACTTATCTCTGTGTTAATATACGATACAGAAATGTGAAGTATCTTGCACTATACGTCATCAAAAAGAAACTACAGAGGTTTACTGTTGCAAATCTGAAGAAGGCTTTTACACTCATCAGAGCATGATCAAAGTAAATCAAAAACAATGCACAGAAAGTGGAAATCAAGAATATAAACAGTTAACATGGTTAATAACAGGTAACAAAGGGGATGAAAAATAACAAAAGCAAGACGAAAACTTAAGTATGTATTGAGTAATGAATATGTATGCACAGTTATTCTTATTATCTATTTAGTCTATTCAAATAGACAAAGTGTTAGAAAATGTAATAAAATGCACCAACATCAGTGTTAAGATAGATATTCACTAAAAGTATATTAACAATCTAATTGATGCAAACATGTCTTACTTTCTTCACACAAGATTTGAAGAGAGCCATGTTCATTTCCTTTGGATACGCTGACCTCATGAGAATGTTCATCTAAGGTCAAGAAACTCCAGGAGACAGGTCAACAATGTAGACTGTCCAAGTATCAAGCAATGATGAACAATTATCTTCAGTAGATAAACAAACTACTGTCTATAGGCCTGTCCTCATCAGCTCGAGATTGCCAAATAGCCCGCTATTTCTGATTTGGGAAACAATACCGAAGATAAAATTCGCGTCGAGACTTGACCTCGAAAACTTGAAAACTTGAAAACTCAAGCTCAAAATATTTTGCTCAGCATTTGTGCATATAGTGCGAGTCAATTCGGGCTGGTGAAAAAGCGCCGGACAAATAGCGGGATATTTTGCAAACTAGCCCAAGATATCTTGGGATGATTATCTTGACCAAATATCTTGGTAATTGCAACTGCAAGCTGATGAAGACGCAAATTAACAGGATAATTTGCGATAGGGATAGTTCAAATAGCGGGATATTTGGCAAGCTTGAGCTGATGAGGACAGGCCTAATGTGGTCTGTCCAGATATCAAGCAATGATGAACAATTATCTTCAGTTGAAAACAAACTACTGTCTATGAGCAGGACAGGTTGGATTGAAGTAATAGACAGAGTTCCAGCTGTTGATTACCAGGCTACGCAACAGATACCAAACATCTATAGCACAAGAATAGATGTAAGGGTCTTACGATGTCTTCAAAGCAGTGCTGCACTAATTAAACTCTAAGAACTTCAGGGCACCTGTGGGGGGGGGGGGGGGATCTCAGACCTACATGTATCAGGAGCAGGAGAACAACTTCCACCGATTAATCGTTGATATTCTAGTTCATCATGTATTCATATAGAATTTGATTTAGTTTCCCGAACTGCTGAGTATATGATCGAAGGTAAGCAACCAGATGGACCTACGTACAGCTTAAAGTCCTATCCGAGGGACTTGGCAAGGATTAATGTCTTGCTAAAGGGCATCAGCACATTGACTGGGTTCAATTCAAACCACTGAACCATCACTACTCCTTTAATAGTCCTTATGTCTGATTGATTTGATTGCAACAGTTATCTTCAATCATCAAAGAGTCCATGAAAATAGAGACACATATCTGAGGGAAATTCATTAAAAGGAGTTCAATGATACGGCAGATGCCCACTGAAAATTATCTACCATCCACTTATAAGAGGCTTACATGTCACCGAACAGTTAACATTGTTGAAGGGTGCGTTTCTACATGTTTGGAGAAAAACAGAAATGAAAGGAGTGTCAACTGTGCCCTAATAAATCATTCTAGATACCCAATCCATGCAAGAGACTGATATCACTCAATACTAGAGCATATAGCAAGGAGATACATTAGAAATGTTTATCAAAAGAAGCAGTTCTACTCAGCACTGTGTATCAGCATCTTAGATTACAAAATGAAGGAAAAACACTCCTTTTGTTGCAACTGCCTTTTACATATAATGAAATGGAAAATGTCAAGCCTAGATGTCAGATAAGAATAGATGAGTTCTCCATGAAGACATTACTTTACCCTAGAAAACGTTCACCTATGATCAAAATAAGTTTTATACTTGTACGTCAAGAGAGATAAATTGATCAATGATTCTCCACACCCTGACAGCTGTGATTTCTTTAATCTCAGAGACACCCCTGCTCTCAAAAATTAATTCCGGCAAAGGAAAACAATCACAGACGATATCTTCCTCGGAGAGGGTCAATCCATCAACCGGTCTTTTTATAGCATCAACTGTTTATCAGATGATAGTGTCCATACAAATAGTGATTGTCTCAATCGTGTACACACACGTAAAGGAGTTCCAGGACCAAGTAGAGACGAAAGGGGTAACACAAAGGTGAGAGAGAGGCATCCTTTTACCAGCAAGCAAAGAAGATGACAAGAATGTTTCATTGGTCAAATGATTGTCTCAATCTTTGAACCAAATGATTAGAAAGAGCAGGATACCTGAGCTAAGATGGGTGCAGCAACAAAAACCATAATATCACAAACTTAGTAGATATCAGCCACATCAAATACAAGAGACAAACAGATGGACCACATACATCTTTGGTCAAATGATGGAAGATAATGCCTCTTGTACACACATGCGGAGGAGCTCCAGGACCAACTAGAGACAAAACGGGTAGCACAAAAGTGAGAGAGGAGGCATCCTTCTTCAAGTACTTCCAGATAAGAGGGTAAGAATCTGTAGTCATATGATAAAAGATGATGCCTCTTGTAAACATAAAAAGAGGAGCTAGAACAACTAGATGCATCCTTCTTCCAGCAAAGAAGATGTCAATAATCTTTCATAGGTCAAACGATATTATAATAATGATGTCTCATTCAAACAGAAAAAGAGGAGATAGACCAACTAGATGCACGATGGGAAGCACTAAATTAAGAAAGGAGGCATCCTTCTTCCAGCAGAGATAGGGTCACTACTGATGCTGCCACCACATGCCTGACCTGGTGTAGACTTGTTTCTGAAGATCCTCCAGCCTGCAAAGGAGATGACTGAGTAAGTGAGTGAGTGATGTGTGTACATGTATATCGATGTCCCATCCAAGCCAAGTTTAGGCTAATAACATCCTCAGTCATGCAAAGCAGACTCTCTCGACACACATCTGGAGAAATTGTCTCTCCTTGCCAGTGTCTTTTCAAAAGATGCACCAAGCAATGTTTGTCTTGGTTTAATACGCAGAAGGGCATTAATTCTGTGTTAAAACAAAACAGGTTCATGCCCTTCAGACTCTCAGAGACTCAGAATATGTACATGAGTACAAAAATCAGATTATGGATATGAATTATGACATTTCAAGGACATTTTTACAAGCTTTATTCAGAGGATATGTAATAGCTTTTTGAAAGAAAATCTAGATGATCTAGATGATGAAAATGATCAAAAGATTGAGAAAATATTGACAAGATTACAATGATTTGAGATAAGAAATGTAATACTGCAGACAGTGGAAAGTGTCTCAGTGACAGATATGCTATTTGTATTGCTTTTTAACACTCAACAAATTTAATGTTTAAATTACACATGCAAACATTTTATAAATTTCATTATCACATAAAATATAATGCAATATCTTCTAAGCTCCTAATATCAACATAACAAAATGAATGAAAACTTTGAAATACTGTCCAATGTCCGATGATTTCAGAGCAACAGACCATGTGCGATCCCAACAAGGTTTTGAGGACACAAAATGAAAGCTGACAGTATTTCAATTGACACAACAGAGTCTGCCACCATCCATTTATGAAAAATAAATTATGGCATCTTGAGGAGTCATTTTTGCCAGCTCTGGATCCACCCTAACAATAACAAACAATAAACTGCCCCCTGTTCCCCCTCCCCCCATGTGTAAGTAATCAAATTCATAAAATATAATTTTCTTCTTCACAATAGACTGAATGAATCATCCATTCTGGTGTGAACAACAGATGTCTAGACAGGGTTCAATCTATTTAAAAGATATCTTTTTAGAAATTAAAGAGGTTATTTAAAAAAAAAAAATATGAGCATGAATGGTTTTATTTCTTATTTTCACTCTATTTTTCCCCCATTATTTTCTATGTTCTTAATTGTATTGATCTATTAATTATTATTTTTTTTTTAAATGGGGGGGGGGGGGGGTAGGGCTTCAGGTGATTTCAACCCAAGGGCCAGTTTTGAACAAAGTGCTCTGAACTCAAAACCACTTTTCCCAGCTGGATATAGGAACAATGAATTAATTGTAATCAGGAAAGCAGAAAGTTTGACAAAACCTGCTGGAAAATCAACTCTAGTCTCTAACAGTGATAAAAGTGCTGGAAATACACTTTTCTTGCTCAAATCAATTACAAGTGATGACAGAAGAGTGGTCAGTAAGTGTTACCACCATGTACATACAACCAACCTAAGGAATTAATACATGATGAATTGAAAAGTTCATTTAAAGTTTGAGAGATGTTATAACTGCAGTGAATAAAATAAGAAACAAAGGTGTTTTGCCAGTTTTTATCTGTATCTTTTGCTTTCTAATTAACAAGTGTAAATTCAAGAGGGAAATTGTCTGCCAAGAGCCATGCAGAAGGGTGTTAACTCATTTAAGCTAACACAGGGTTAATTGCTGATCTCTCTTTCAACAGATGAAATTTGTAGGGTGAGAGCTGGGAGGACGTTATATCTGTATTAAAGTGTATTAGTTAATCGTCCTTCTGGCTCTCAACAGACGAGAAAAGAGATAATCCCCCTTCTCAAAGAAATAGAATAGTAATCTAATCTCTCATCAGTCATCACGTGGGTATAAGAACAAGATTTACATTGTTCATATTGCAAATTGTGAAGAGATAGAATATCTGGAGTGGAGTTGTGACTCACGCCAGAAGGCTGCCCAAAATTGGAAATATTATTAGATATGAAGAAGATGCACATACCTTGGCATAGTCGAGTGGTAACCGATCTTCAGGACATTCAAAGACTCCAGCACTGCAAAGAGAAGAAGAAGAAATGATATCTTGTCAGTCTAAGTTATCAAAATAAAGATGCATTCATTGATTCAAGCTGCAATTTGAAGAGTATCACAGTCAGTTACATTGACACACATCCTTCATAACCTCACCTAGGTATACAATGAATTCATTATTCTGCTGATGAAAGACGGAAATTCAAAGAATAATATGCGAAAGTATACAACATGGATAGAATATAACGAAAGAAGTCGTAAGCGAATTCCCAACATATTTCTGATATGAATAGAAGGATTGCAATATTAATGAGAAAGAATATTCTGTGAGACATTTGAGGCGAGTGCGGTTCCCAGAAGAATGCAGGTAATATGGGAATTACGTTGGTTGGGATGAGCGTCTGATAGTTTGTCTTGGTTTTAGGTTTCTTAATGTGGGATGGAGACACAAAGGTGAAACTGAGGACAGATGTGACAGGACATCAGTCAGTATCATGATGGACCAAATAAATCCTTGGATATGAGCATTCTTTCGCTCATCCCTATCTCCTCCGTGACTTTGATTAATACTTTCTATTTGAAAAATATACCTGCTACCTCTCCTCACCATTATTTCTTTTCTTGCCCTGCCCCCTTTCCACATTCCCCTCTCTCTCTCTCTCCCCTCTCCCTCCCTCCCTCCCCCTTCTACCTTCTCTCACTCTCCCTTGCTTTCTTTCTCTCCCTCCCTCCACTCCTCCTACCTACATCCCTCCCTCTCCTCCCCTCCTCCTCCCTCCTCCCTCTCTCCCAGTAAATATCTTGCTCCCTATCCAAAACTTCTTACTTACTTCCTAAACAAACAAGTTCCAAATCTTTACTTATTTGTGATGCATCTTCTTTTGTACATAATCATCTTTTTTTAAATAGAGCATCTGAATCTGAACCTTGATACATTTCTCTCTTCCTGCGATTAAACATGATCTACCCAAGCCAACGCAACATTTCCCCTCTCTAATTACAAGCGAGGAGGAGGTGAAGAAGAGTAGCCGAATCTTTGCAGGAAAGGTTATATTTCAAGAGGTTCCATAACTACACCATGATGGAGAAATGAAAGCAGATTCCGGAACCGGAGCTGGAATTTTCAATCTATGCAGGAAGATTTCCTTGCTGGGATCGGTTTCCTATGTCAAGGGGAATTAATTGTCTGGGAGGATGATGAGATGGGGATGATGAGATGGGGTAGAGGAGGACGGATGTTAAGATGGATGAGATGGAGATGGGATGAGAGAGGTGAAGAGGATGAGGGTGCATGACGATGATTGGAGGAGGCATTTAAATGAAGATACTCCATGTATCATACTCTCATTACCACTTATTACTAACTGGTGACAAAATGAGACATTAGAGAGTACACTTCTGAGACATGAAGGTCACTTTAATGACTCTAGGCTTTAAAGGCCCACTACACTACTTGTAGCTACTTGCGCCCTCTATATAACAAAGAATGTCTAATCGGTGACCATTGGTCCCCCATGATCCTCTTTTTCTTATGTTAACTGAGAGCTGAGTTGATGAGATAACCACCTGTCCAGTGACCTTGCAGGGCGCTCTAATCCCTCCTGTTAACTACGGCAGATAAGCTTTAAGATGTAAATTGTTAACTTAGGCTGAGCTCCAAATCGTCTGCTTGTAGCCAGGAGGATGTGGCTTCAAACATATTTCTGTAATCTCTTCATTCAGAAAGACAAAAGCTTTTATTTCCAACTTTCTAATTTGTATCAACTCTCAAGAGATTGCTTTTGTTCTGCTTAAAGGCATAATACTCATGTGAACTTAAGTCATTTGAAAATATGTTGCAAAAGAGTCCATACTTTCATACTTAATATAGAAATACTTTAAAGTTTAAACACCACACATCATCTAACGTATAATGTGTCATGTACTCTAAAATGTGTGCCTTAAATGTCAGCAAAAGAAACTTACACAAAAATTGCTTCAAAGAAAGAGCTAAACAAAACAACCATGTATAGACTTTAAGACTTTCATATACATTCATAAACATTTCTATAGTATTTCACATCACAAAGATGGAAAAAAAAAAAAAACATTTGTAGCCAGATACTGTACACCTCCCTGTAATGGTGCTTAGCACATCTAATGTTTCATACAACGCTAGCAGCACAGGTATATATAAACCCACTTTAATGGTGGGCATGAAAACAGTGTAAAAGTGTCAAATTATCCACCCCTGGAGATGGCAATCAATACTCGTCAGGCGTCGCTCACTATCAAATAAATTGAATTACAATAGGCATTGCACTATGTGCAAACTATGGGACGTGCACATCATTAGATTCTATCGTTAAATTTCATCGTAACATGCTGTCACTGCATGAACTTGCACATTATTAGATTCTTTTGTTAAATTGAATTGTAGCGTGCTGCCTTTGCTTATATGAACTTGAAAATGTATGTGCCACTGGGTTTCCTTAACCAGGAAAGATGCACTGCCAATCATCAGCACACTATCATAATTTTGAAAGTACGATTTGAATAGATTCTTGTGAGATTCAGGCATGTTTTGGAGAGGAAATAGAGAGAAATATTTTCATGTCAAGCAATATTCGTAACATCTTCATCCATAGATCGACTAATTATCTTGCTAAAACAGGGACTAAATTTCATCTTGCTTTTTCTAACTCTTGACCTTCTTTAGAAAGCATGTCATGTTCAATACATAAATTTGCTCTAATATCGTATTAAGCACTCATCATTCTGTTGCATATTGAATACGAGACATCCTATCACAAAACATCTAATGAATACATTCAAGAGAGCCAGAAGGGTGTTAATAACTTAATACTGAGTAAAAACGGCGTGAGTCAATGCCCTTCTCGCTCTCAGAACGGCTTATTGACGATCAGGAAGAGTGAAGCCAGTGTTTTATTGATCTCCTTTGATTTTTCTCTCTCATGTATGGTAATTCCTCTGATTAGTCCAGGCTGTCGATAAAAGAGACTTCTTCGCATAATCCTTGTATTGATTCTCTTCCTCGCTTGATTAAAACAGATCAATTTAGAACATTGAGCGCATCTTTTAATGACTTTTCCTCATCCTAATTAAGAATTTTGTTTTATCATAACTGATGAGAAAGATTCAATTTGCAATGGATCATTCATATTCTTTTTAAAAGATTACTACCGGTATATCCACCAAATTTATTTGATACCAATACTGATAAAATGATAATCATAATTCACTTATTCTTCATGATGAAATAAGAAGAAATCAACTTGTTTCTTATTCTTTACTTCAAAATGTAAAAATCCTGTTGTGCTCTGAGCAAGGTACACAGAAACTGGGGAACTTTTTAGAAATATAAACTTGGCTATTATGACCCAAATACAAGCACACTGTTCAAATAAACAGCACAATTTTCTACTCCAGTGATTTTGTGTACATTTCTCAGCCTATAAAGTTGGAAGCACAAAGGAGTACTAGCAAATACAAGCACTTCTTGATCCTTATCTAAACTTCTCTCTCACTTGAAACAGACTTTTACCACTACTGAGCAACATCTCTCTTTCTCTATCTCTCTTATTCTGTATCGCATTCAAACAAAATATTTCTATGAGAAAATAAATTTGGTTTTCTACCCCCTTGTATGTTCCCCTCTCAGCATATCGTCGCTGTTTTCCCGAAGTGACGGTAGTGAAAAAAAATTGCATTCACTTTGCATGACGATTTTCCTCACTACCGTCACTTCGTGAAAATAGGGACGAATTATGTCTACCTCTGCCTCTTTCTGCTCATCTCTCTCTCTCTCTCCTATCACTTTTGCACCCCCCTTTCCTCCTCTCTCCGTCTCTGTCTATGCCAGTCTGTCTGTCTGTCTGTCTGTCTGTCTGTCTCTCTGTCTGTCTGTCTGTCTCTCTCCCTCTGTCTAACTCTCTTTTTCTCCAAAAACATAACTACATCCACACCAATCACACTCTCTACAATGAACTTACCTCTTGAATTGAATGCTATGTAGGGCAATACACATACAGCAATATTATATTGAATTGAGGCATATGAGGCATCAAATCTACACAGCCTTCTCCACAAGCACTCACTGTGATATGTCTGCCTAACTTCTATTTTCATTTTCATTCCAGTATCCCTTTCAACTACTGGCAGCTCATATAAACACTGACAAACAACTTCAAACAATGGCATATTACACATGCCATAACAATGTAACAGAGCTAATTATAGCATAATTAGGATGTCTGACATACAAATAATATACATGTATCACTTAACACCATTATAAACATAGTGATATCAACTGGAAACTGATTTCATTAGCTTGACTAGTCAACCTAATCAAATGTTGACAGAAAACTAAGCATTATTGTTGTTATCAGCAAGCAGACTTTGAGCACATAAACTCATGGATGATAAACATGTCACTCAAGAGGGAGCAAGATTACAAAACATCCCCTGAGTATACTATCAGCTCATCATGATCCTAAAGTACAGAGACACTAAATAGAACAAACTACTTCACATTACACATAATTCACAGAAGAACCTATTGATGATGGAATTACCAGAACCAGATGCATGTATACATGTACTTTGAACTTCCGCAGGGAAATTATATGAATTGCCAACAAAAACTACATAGCCTACATTCTATTTGAATAATTGATATCCTTTATAGTCTTTGATTCTTCTCACTATATTTCCATACGCCAATGATTTAGATCATCTTTAACCCATTACTTACTGGAACCTGGTGTTCCATGTATGAAGCCTATGGCAATTAGAGAATTCAGTAGTCAATGGGTAAAAACAAATAATGTTCAGGTTGAGAGCCAGAAGGGCATTAACCCAGGATGTTTCATACATGTATGATGTGAGTTCTGGCTCTGAGCAGACGATTCCTAGGACTGCAAACTTCTTCAAATTTATAGAAAATACCTCACTGCTATTTATCAGCGGACGTTATTGTGGTGTATAGAATGTGAACGATGTCAAAACAAGCCAGGGATTGAATGCAACAATCCAGGGGTGTCTGGACACCC